CACGTCTTTCACATAGCTTTTCTAGGCCGGTGTCTTGTAAAGCTTGCTCGTAACTTCGTCCTGGATGTATAATGCGCAAGGCACGCCTCTGGCAGAGCTCCAGATCGTTTGACAGATATTTTGGCAGGCTATTATGGAATAATGCGCATGCGTATTCCATCACGGATCGTATACAAGTGGTATAAAATGATGTAAGTTCCTTCGGTTTTACTTGGGCTCGTTTCAATTGGCTTAAGAAGTATAAACGTTTGTTGACTTTCATAATGACTTCGTTCACGTGATCATTCCATTTTAGGTCGTTTGACAAAATTACACCTAGGATTTTTGCTTTGTTAACACAGTCAATGTTCTTATTGTTGACTTTTATCGGCTCAAAAACTTCGTTGGATCGTGCAAAACTAATCCTCAATTCTTTACATTTGTCTTCATTAAGTTGAAAATTGTTAGCATGATGTGATCAGTTTTGATCAAGTTCTTGTAAGGATAAGGTGTTTGAAACAGCCCAGGCTTATTAGTTAAACAGTTGTCAAGAGTAGCATCGCCCCTAGTAGGAAAATCTACTAGAACAGTAAGAACAGCAACAGTACATAAGTGATCGGTATTAAGTCTGTTTAAATCTCCTCCACACACAATAGCGCCATCAGGAACAGAGTCAAGAAAGTCATCGGTAACTGAAGTAATTGCGTCAACCAGTGTACTTTCCATATAATTCACTTTTGGAGGGTGATAAACACCAATAACTAGCATTACGTGACTAGATGGAAGTAATGATCGCACACTTAACATCTCGAAGGCCGAATCTCGCTTTATATCAAGTACTTTCAGGTGTTCACGGACGTAGATGGCAACGCCTCCTTTCTTACGTTTATCAATATTTTCCCAGTCACGGTCCCTTCTGTGAATATCCTTCGATTCCAATAACGCAATCAGGTATCTTATTGTTCAAGTGTGTCTCTGAAATAATAGCATGAATGTTACTATCAATTTAAATAGGCAAGTGATCTCATTAAATATAGTTTTTTTATACAAATACAAATAATGAATACAAAAATAAATAATACCTATACATATAATTACTACTCTGTCTACTTAACAATTAGACCTCGAGGTCGAGTGGACTACGAGCTAATAGCCCATGAGGCCGAGTCCGCGAGGCCGAATGGGCTATTAGCTCGTAGTCCACGAGGCCGAGAGGTCTAATTGTTTTAGTATAAACATACTAATCGGTAAAATAATGAAAACAAATTGAAATATCCTTAAAATAATTTATAATTTATAATTTATTTATTTTGATTTTCCCGCGAGTGGTCTATCACAAATTAGACCATTAGTAGAGTAGCCAATCACAGCACAGTATGAGTGATAGACCATTAGTATGTTCATACTAATATTGAAGATCATTTATTTATTATTTTACATTACATTTGTAGATCTGAAACTCTTATTAGTGAGTTTGGTGTCACTATTATTTTGTTCTCTTGTCGGGATGTTGAACTAACTTATATTTGTGTTTTTGCAACGTTTCGATGCCATTGTGGCCGTCTTCTTCTTCCTTGGGAATAGATTATTTTGTCTTTAATTACGTAGTTTAACTTACTTCCTAACATAATCGCCGTTCTTTTACTCCTTGAAGTTCCGTGCGACATTAAAAGTTCATTCCTAGTTCTCAGAGACCACTTAGAGCAGACCACTCAATTTCTGTTTCTTTAGTAGTGTTTTTTTCTTGCAAAAAAGAGATTCCGTATTCACCATTGTGTTTTATAAGCCAATTAAATTTTTTTCTATTCTTTTTATAGTCCCTGAGGGGGTCATTAAGGGGTCATTTTCAGAATCTCCGACGAGGACCCCGCCCTTTTTTATAAAGGAGCACCCCCCCCCCCTTCTCCCCGCCCCCGGTAATAAAACAGGAGCTTTGCAGCATCAAGAACTCACTAGACAATTTACGAATAAGAACAGAACTACAGAATAAAGCCGAAAATAAAGATAAAGTTGTGCTTGCTGAATGAGCCTTTGCATTTGTTTATTTTAGCCGTATTTTGTATAGTCTCCGAAACTAAACACTAAACTAAACACATTATTTTAAGGATATTTCAATTTGTTTTCATTATTTGACCGATTAGTATGTTTATACTAAAACAATTAGACCTCTCGGCCTCGTGGACTACGAGCTAATAGCCAATAGACCTCTGAAGCTTTTACGTCATGTACCGTAAACGCAGTGCATTGTAGGATATGTTTGGGACAAAACATAGTGATCCCACAATGCATTGAAAATCAAATTGTGACGTAAAAGGTTCAGAAGTCTATTCGGCCTCGCGAACTCGGCCTCATGGGCTATTAGCTCGTAGTCCACTCGACCTCGAGGTCTAATTTTTAATTATTATCCTTCCTCCCTCGCTCGTTGTATGGTGCAATGGGGGATCAGGGGAAATACCCCCGTACCCCCCTAGTACCCCTTCTGGCTTCGGACGCCACTAGCCCCCAACAAATTCCTGCTCCGCGTTCCCTTTAACTATATGAAAAACCCAACATACCACATTAATGTATTTCTCCAGGCTGGATTTCTTCCCAATGTTTTGAGATGTCTGTCGCATCGACCTGACGAATTACGTGCATTTCTGAACTACTACGACATTTTGATGCTAAAAGAAAACAACCTGAGCAAAGCAGAGAAGGAAATGATTGTCGTGGCGACAAGTGCTGCCAATAATTGCATGTACTGTGTTGTATCACATGGTGCTCTTACCCGTATTTATTCCAAAAATCCTCTTCTTGGAGATCAAGTGGCTATTAATTGGAAGGCGGCAGATCTTACCAAACGTGAACGAGCTATTTTGGAATTTGCAACTAAGATTGGTCGAAGTGAGACCATAGAAGACAACGACTACGCGGCATTGGAGGAACAGGGTCTTGGACAAGAAGATGCATGGGATATAGGAGCAATAGCAGCATTTTTTGCACTTTCAAATCGTATGGCACACATGATTGAYATGAGGCCAAACAACGAGTTCTTTAACATGGGAAGACTTCCTAAAGAAAATAAGTAAGCACTTGACAATTATTCATTATATAAAATATCAAGTAATGTAAAAATAGTATTTTTTAAAATACACTGTATAAATAAACTCTGCAAAATCGCTACAGACATTTATTATGAGTCATTTCTAAAACACATCTTGAAGACAAGGAAAAAATATTTTTAGAGTGCTGGTTACTGAACTGTGTGTTTATGCTGCGTTGTGCTGCGCTGTGCTACGCTATCCCTTGCTTTGCTATGCAAACTCAATTTGCATTGTTAATTTGATTCCCTGGCGAGAAAATCGTCTTCATCCCAGAATTTGTCATTGTTTTTCCTCTCCCGTAAACGACCACCCTCGACTGACGCAATAAAGGCGTGTGTTTAATTTACTTATGAAGCTTACACAAATTTCATTTCCGGTTACTTTAATAGGTTACAAACCGTAAAAGCGTAATATTTAGTATCAAATACACTGTAGTGTAAGTGGTATAATATATCATTGAAAACAATAGAATTAGGACATTACGGGGGCCGCGGAGACGGGGGGGGGGGCACTTTTTGCTTCCGAAAAATTATTAATAAATGAAATCGATAAGATTAAAATAAAAACTCCAAAAAATCGATGTTCAGAGCTCGACTATACTGTGACGACATCAAGTTGGAAAGAGTCAACTTCGCATGCATCTGACTCCCCTATAAAAAGGGGCAAGAATATTACACTATGCTTGTGCAAATGATAAAAGCAAACTGATTAATGTCGCTATCGTCCTCAGTATCGTTACAGTGAGAAACAATTGGATAAGAAACTATCAAACAAGGATTAAAGGACTGTACAGCTTCGAGAACACGACCTGCTGCATGTGTTTTTTTAAATATGATATCCAAAATTCTGAAAACAGTACATTTGGATGTTTTGAAACAGGGTCTGAATGGGGTTAACCGACTAGCGACAAATGGACAAAATAACTACTGACTAGCGACATATATATGAACCAAATTTGCTGACTACCGACATTAACAAATTTACTGACTGGCGACATTTTCCAATATTCAAAGATGTTAGCTCCGTGAATACAAGCTTTTTTTAATTTTTCAAGCAACTACATTCGAAATTTTCCGCGGAAAAAACACATTTTGATTCGGATTGGCTTCTTGAAGTTGTGATGAGCCACTCTAAAACTTCAGGGCATCCAATTGACCAATCAAGACTCGAAGATTCAATTGTTGGCATTTTGGAAAGAATTCTGTTGGTATAAAGCACCGTTTTAGATGCATTTAAACTTAATGCTTATCAACTTTTTTTAAATAATCGACTACCGACAAATGCCTAGAATTTTAACTGACTAGCGACAAATGYTTGAAATTTTAACTGACTACCGACATTGAGACCSCCCCATTAAGACCCTGTTGAAACAATCGTTTTTGCAGCATGTCTAGCAGGCTTGAATAAGACCGAATATGTTTACATGCAGAACGTACTTCCTATATCTGACAGTGTAATACGAGTTAAATGATATTTGCGGGATCAGTGACGGTTTACAAGTGTTCACGATTTTACAATGAAACATACGAAACGATTTTGTACGGGTCATCGTTGTAAGACGTGCATGTTCAGATAACAATCGGAATGGAAATGGCC